TAACAATTTTTTACTTGTAAAAATAACCCTTTTACAGCATGGGCAGCTATTCAATCACTATTTCTTTTTCTAAAAGTATATTTTTCAAAAAAAATTAAGATCAAATTCGACAATTTCTTGATGAAAGCAAAAATATTACACATACTTCTAGATGCATGGGATAAAATATGCAATTATTCAATCAATTCGCATGATTTGAAAAAAAAATCTAAATTTGATAAAAATGTAGAAATTTTTTATTTTTAACTTGAGATTCGATTTTTTTGATCCAATTTGTGAATTTTTTTGATCGGAATTTCAATTAATTTGTTGATCAAAAATGACCTCACAATGTTTGATCATAAGTGAAGTCATCTTCATGGGTATTTAGAAATTCCAAGAGAAATTGCTTATTTCTCGCAGATGTAATATCTGAGAAAATCGAATTTAAATATTCATAGAAACCCAAATCATTCTCCGGTTCGAATAATTCATCTGTTGCTTTTTCTGTTTTTTCTATGAATTTTAATAATTTGATTAATAAATCTTCATCAGGAAGAATTATTGTTGCATTTGTGATAAAATTCCATATTGAGGTAATATGGCAATAATTACATTTATAAAATGTAATTTTATCCAAAATTTTTTGGCAAATTCGCATAATAGCATTAATATTTGAAGCTGAGATTAAACCTGTGATTACTTCTGTAACTTTTGGAAAATCATCGCAATTTAATATCTCTTTATATTGAATTGAGAAATAAAAAAATCAAATGGATTCATTTCTTCAATTTCAAGGAGATTGTAAAAATTGATAGAAGTGTTATTGCAACAAATTGTATTTGCAGCAAAAAATATCATTTGCTCGATTCCATTTTTGGAATAAATTTGCTGGAACAATGTTAAATTAAAACAGTTGCTTAATTTTTCTTCATTGTTTTCATAAAAAAGTAACAAGTTTGCAACTGAAATTTCAAAATTTTGATAATTGCCAGTTATTTCAGTAAATATATATATTTGCTTTTCTTCATCTAAAAATGGCAAATATTGATTTGCAATATTAACTAAAATTTGGGATAAATTGTTCCAGTTTGATTTTACAATTTGTGAGCACATTATGTAATATGTAAATTTATCCGCTTTGTAGGAATTTAAAATTGTTTGTTGTTCTGTTTCAGTTAAATTACTGAATTTTTCAAGATTAATATTGTGATAAAAAATAGAATCCTTGAAACATTCTGATATCTTTTCAATGTTTAAAACGGATGCTAAAAAATGTAAAAGAACTTCATCAGTCACTGTGATTTTTTTGAAAAATTTATCCCAATTCAAGCATCCAATTGATCTTTCTGTCATTGTACTTATGCATTGATAAAGTTGATTTAATGAATCCGAAGAATAATCATTATGCTTGACTAGTTGAGTTAGTTGATACAGACTGTCGTCAGCCATTTTAAAAAATGAATAAAATTGTATAGTAAATTATATTTGTGAAATTTGTGACGCTACATTCAATCTAAGACCAATATCTCAAAGAATTCCTCATTTAAGTATTACTTTTCATTGTTTTTTAAAAAATATCTTTGCTTATTTGTTCACTTTTTTGACATTTATTATATGCTTTTTATCATATTTCCGATGATATGAATATATATTCTATATAAGAATGACGCTACATTCAATCTAAGACCAATATCTCAAAGAATTCCTCATTTAAGTATTACTTTTCATTTTTGATTCAATTTTCGAACGGTTTTCGTAAATTTTGCATCATTTCATTTTTTAATGGGAAAATCATCTATATTTAATCAAAAAAGAGCAAACTTTACAGACGAAAATAAAATATTTATCAGGGAACAATCTGATAAATACCAAAAATCAACATCGAGAGATGGAAAAATGAATATAATCAAACAAGTTCTTCAATATTTTAATATTAAATACGCCGAAAATGAATCTAAAGCTGTCAGAAGATATTTTAGTTATATTGCAGTTAAAAATATTCCCGCAGTTACTGGAAAATATCCTGATACAATTGTTCGCAAAGATATGCTTTATTCGCATGATCATACAAATATTATTAATTCAAATAATATTGAACGTTACTACCGTTGCATCGATCATTCTTGTCAAGCACGTTATTTAGTTAAAATTGAGAACAGTTCAGTTTCCGAAGATTTACAAAAGGAACATATACCCGAATGCAGACAATTTAAAAAGTTACAAAATGAAAAAAATGATCTTCATAAATCAATGACTCTGACAGAAATATACAATAAGGCAATGGCAAAATTTTCTGAAGACAACGGCACTTTTCAGCAGATTAAAAAATTTATGACAGAACTTGCTGTTGGTACTGATGAAAACCCATTAATTAAAGATTCATTGGTCAGGGAAGTTTATAATAAGTCCAGAAAATTTTCTGTTGGAGAAAAAATTACAGACGATGAAATTGCTAATTTTTGTTTAATAAATGGCGAGCAGTTTTTCATTGGCCATGATTTTCAAGCAAATTGTGAGACGATGTTTTTTGGTTTTGAGAAGGCAATTCAATTTGCAAAAGAAGCCACAAATTTATTTTGCGATGGAACTTTTAAAATTACACCAAAACATTTTCAAAAAGGACAGATGCTAACAATTATGATTTGTGAACCTTCAACAAATCAATATCTACCACTTTTATTTATATTCATGAAAAACCGCACATTTGAATCTTATAAGAAGGCATTTGAATATATTTTTACTGTCAAGGGTATTCAATTTTCAAAGCTAATTCAAATTCATTGTGATTTTGAAAAGGGAATGATAGAGGCACTTCAACAAATTTTCCCTAAAGTCCGTATAATTGGATGCCTATTTCATTTCAAACAAGCTTTACACAGGAAACTTGTAGCACTTTATACAAAAAATTTCAATACTTTACAAAATTCTTTATTTAAGCTATATTCTATTACTCCATTCATGTCTCATGAAGAATTTGTACTTACAATGCATATAATTAATCAAAATAAAGTTGATTCGATCAAAGATTATATTGATTATTTCAACAAAGTTTGGTTGCCGCACTACAATTTAATATCTCAATATAATAATGCAACTGCAATATTCACTAATGATTGCCTCGAGAGTATGCATTCAGAATTTTCTTCGTTAAAACATCCAAACATTTATGAAGCTATTAAGAAGATATCTCAAATCCAATTAGATAAATATAACGCCATCAAAAATAACCAGAAGATCGAGCGCCATATAAAAACCGTTATCACTGATAGCTACAAAAATTATATTCTTTATTGCTTTCAAAAAGAACTTGAGAAAACAATTTTTTCTATCAAACAATACAACGTAAGTGATCTTTCTTTGGCTCAGAACGAGATTTCTCCATATGGTTCCATAGAATCGAGTTCATTGTTCGAAAATATTCCAGTTCATGATGCAGATATACTCAAATCGATCGATCTAACAGATAAAGATACAATGATCACTAAGTTTATTAATGAAAAAAGAGAAAAAATTATGGCATTATTTAATGAAACATTAAATCATCCAGATTTTAATTCATCCACTCCAATTCAAACTAATTTTGAGCAAGCCGATACAAATCAAGGTTCAGATGCTCCAATTCGCTCCGAAAATTCAAATATTGCAGACTCTACAGATTTAGAACCAGAAAATCAAAAATCCTTCTACAAATCAAATGTCTAGTAATCTAGAACATAAGCTGGACCTTCTTGATCATATTGAAAAACAATTATCGAAAATGCGCTCGTTATTGGGAATTCTTCCTACTACAAATGCTATTGTTGGGCCGTCAAAACAAGTTTCAGTTAATAGCAAGCAAAATTCTGAAAAAAATAAGAAAAAATCTTCCATAACAACAAAATCAAAACAATAGAAAAACAAAATTCATCCGACAATCCTCCTAAACGTAAAGCTCCTATTTCGGAAAGGATTCTCAGCGATAATAACTTATATTTTCAAGTTCATCGAAAGAGATCGAAAAGCAAACGTTCCACATCTACAGAGAAAAAGAATTGATATATGAAGTCTAATTCCTTTTATAACTACTATATTTTTATTGTTATGACTAAAAAATAATATATTATTTAACAATTTTCATTTTTTTCTTTTAACAATTTCGTTTTATTTCCATTTATTGTTAAATGATTTTTAGCATACACCTTTCTTTGTTCATCTTCTAAATACAATTTATTTTTTCTTAGATATAATTCTATTCATTCAATTCGATCGTCATTTTTCAGTACATGATCGTAATTTTCAATTATTGATCGCGATTTTACTTGAGAATTTGTTCGCAATATTGCTTATCAAAATTATATCTCTATTCTCTCATTTCTGTTTAGTCAATATCATTACACTCCTATTGTCTAATAACATGCTATTAATTTTCTTAAAATTAAAAAAAAAAATCAACTTTTAAAAACAGAAACTTAACATCCTTAGGTCAATGGATTTTGATGTGAGATACATTTAATCTGTTTTTCTTTTTTATTTTAAATAATTGAATATTTATAGTTGTTATGGGTCTTACATCATGTAAAACGAATTTTCTTAAAGTAAATTTACTTTTTCTTCAATCTTTCTTACATATTTATTAAAAAAAAAATTATCCAAAAAAAGATGTTTTAGAATGAAAAAAAATAGAAAAATCTTCATTTATAGTCTTTCTTGAATGTATACGTTTTGATTTTTTTTCTTTTTTAAAAAATTCAATTTCTAGAAAAATCGAGAAAAAATCATTTTCTTCTATTTTTTGAGGACGCCATACCCATTGAAATCTCCTCTCAGGACGCCATAAACTATTCAATTATGGTGTAAACTTCTCAAAAATTGAATAGTTTACATCAGGACGCCTTAGGACGCCAAACCTTTACGCGCCCAAAGATTTACCATCATGCATTTTCCCCACTATTATTTGTTGATACATACCAAATAGATCTTCCTTTTGATCAACTATTGGTAAACTGTTTTTAGGCAAAATTTTTTTTTCCACATTTCTAATGTCTAGAATCAAGTGGGAAAAAGCAATTTGGAACATTTCAGCACTTCCTCCGAGCTTGTCTTATCCTGCCGATATCAGAATTAACAATAGAAATTATAAAACAAATTCAATCTTCCTTTGGAGTATTAGCAATAAAGTTAAAAATCTTTTATACAGTGAGAGACTTTCCAATAAATATACATTCAATTGTAACATCAAAGATCAGAAAACATACGACGTTCTTGAAGAACTTTTTCATGGTCAGTTTATCAACGACAATTTGACAGATAGCATTCATACAGATTTATTCGAATTTGCTATCACTATTGAAAGTCAAGATTTAATCGAGTTTTATTATGAAAAGTTCAAACTTTCTAATTTCACAATCGAAAATTTCGACAATAACATTATTTATTGCAAATATTGCGATCCCAAAGATGAATTCATCATATTTATTTCAGAAAACATTTCTAATATTGGCGTTGGTAAAATAGTTGAATCATGCAATTCTTTAGGTTATGATTTTGCAGAGAAGATTATTTTATATTGTCAGAAAGAATCAATTGATTTTAATGATTTAATTTCTGCATTAATTGAAAGTAATTCATTATTCTTCAACTTACTTCTCTCAATTGATTTATCTAAACTATATTTTGATGCAAAAATCAGAATCCTCAAAACATATTTAGAAACAAAGAATACTAACGATTCTATTGCTCCAATCATCATTTCTTTCCTACCAACAATTACTTGTGAACATCAAGAAGCAAAACAAGAAATAAATCAACTTAAGAAAGAAACAGAAATTACGAAACAAGAAAATGATAAACTTCGAAAAGAAACAGAAATTTCAAAACAAGAAAATGATAAACTTCGAAAAGAAACAGAAATTTCAAAACAAGAAAATGATAAACTTCGAAAAGAAATTGAAGAACTAAATTCTGTAATAACTCTTAATTATTCAGGAAATCAATATGATGGAATATTTTCATATTTAAGAAGGATAAATAAAGGTCAAAATCCTCTTACTTGTGGTGCAATATCTGTTTCAATTTCAGGCAACTTCGATGGAAATAATTCTAATTTATTTGAATATTCAACTAGACTTCATAATTGGTATTTAGATGAAGTAGCAAACAATTCAGTTTCATTCGATTTCAAAGATAGAAAAGTTTCTCTTTCTGCCTATACAATTAAATCAGGAAGTTGTAGTTATTGGGATAAACCCGTAGATTTTGCGATCGAAGGAAGTAACAATTGTATACAATGGGATATGATTGATGATAAACCAAATAACAGAGAAATGGGTGGGGATGACATGGTTCATACATGGACTTGTTCACCATCACCATTTTATCGTTATATCAGGTTTAGATTGAAAACCAAGTGTAGTGGTGGGCAGTTATATACAGATCATTTTGAATTCTTTGGTAAAATTAAATGACTTTCATTATTTAATTTTGTCATATTCACAAAATCCAAATTAATATACACTGTTTTAATATCATCATGTTTTTTCAACTTCATTATAAATATAGTTGGAGAAGATTTTTCTCGAAACAAGATCCCTAAGGATAATAATATAAGAAATACAAAAAAAAACTTGTTTGTAGTAACCTACTTGTTTATATGAACAAAATTTATATATCTTATTCTTATATGTAAATGTCTACGGTTTATTGGAATACCCAGGAAAATAAGGGTAATTATCATGATAATATATTCCGAGGCAATCTTTTCCAAAACGATATAACAATTGACTACAAAATATGATATTTGATGTCTACGGCTAATATCTGCTAAGAATTATTATTTTTCATCAACACATTTCAATTTCTGACATAAATATGTTTGTAATGGAGTGAAATAATGATATTATACTTAAAATCTCACCAGACTTGTAATCAAAATAATCGTTTTTGTACATTTTTTTGCAAAATGATTCTTTCTAATTTTTATCTGCTCCAATATGCAGAGTTTCAGAATTTATCTTTTTTATTGACATTTGCACCATGGGAAATCAGAAGTCCAGATGTTTCTTTACTATGAAAAATAGCTGCACACCCAAGAGCTGTTTTTCCATCTATATCTTTTTCATTGATGTTTATGCCATGAGAAATAAGAAGTTCGGATGTTTCTTTACGATTAAAATATGCTGCAATATGAAGAGCGGTTTTTCCATCATCATCTTTTTCATCGATATTTGCACCGTGTGAAATAAGACATTCAACTATTTCTATAATGTTTTTACATGATGCAATATGAAGAGCGATTTCGAAACGAATATCTTTTTCATTGATGTTTGCACCATATAAAAGAAGAAGTTCGGCTACTTCTTTGCTCTTATTCCATGCTGATCGAAGAAGAGCGGTTTCTCCAGAATTATCTTTTTCATTGATATGAATTTCATGCGAAATTAGAAGTTCGACTGTTTCTTTATAATTAAGATCTGCTGCGTAAAGGAGTGCGGCTTGTCCATATTTAAATATTCGCAAAGGGATGGAATATTAAACATAATTGAATCAAAAAAGCATGCTTAAATATCATTAGTTTGATCAAAATAAACTAAAAAAGATTCAAGATTATTATATTTTATGCAATAACTTGATCTTAAAAGTGTATTCGTTCATCAAGAATGTAACAAAATCAGTGTTGTATGAAATAATTGCATAAACTATGCAATAACTACCTGGTTCTTGAATATTACAAACATTCACTCATGATCTCTGGATTTCCTCCCAAAAATGAAAATTTTAGACAGTAATATGTTATTTCAGCGCTAAATAACATTAACATTGCTGACATCTTTGACATGATAATCATTAGATATGAGTTTGGCAAGAGATAAATATGACTTTGTATAGCGATTATTACATGGGATAATATTTAAAATATCTCTTATAACATTTATTGAAAAAAATGTTTCTTTGAATCAATCAATTCTGTTTGAATCATTTTGTAAATCTTGTGTAGTTCTTCTTTGTTTTTTGTTTTCAGATGATACAAAGCATTATATGAATCAATGTAGTATTTGCACTTACTTCGAAGTTACTTGAATTCATTTAGATGTAAGTCTTGCTTGGACATAAAATTTTTTAAAAGTTATAAAATTGCATCTTACCATATAAAATATCAATAGTATTCATTGTGAGAAAACAAATTTAATGTTATACCAATGTAAAACAATAGTCAGCTCATTTTCCCCAATTCTAATGTCTAGAATCAAGTGGGAGAAAGCGATTTGGAACATTTGAACACTTCCTCTGAGTTTGTCTTATCCTGCGAGCCTCAGAATTAACAATAAAATTTCTCTGATGTTTTTGCTATTTTAAACTTTTACAACTTATGTTGCTTATTCTATTTTCTCCCCTCCCAATATGTAAAGCTTTCTCAAAAAAATTTTAAACCGACACTTTTTAAAATTCATTAATAATGCCCCCGAGGAAGGCAGTGGAAAAGAAAGAACTTCCAAACTTCCCAAAGGCAGTTTCAAACTATACTTTAAACCAGGGTTTTCGCTTTGGAATGTCAGATAACCCGCCAAATTTAGGTCAAGTACCAATTCCTATTGGAAAATCAGGCTGTCTTGAAGGAATTACATTTGTAGCTACTGGAACAATGCCATCTATTACAAGAGAAACATTAAAAGACATCATCGAAAAATATGGTGGTCGGTTAACTACATCAATTTCAGGAAAAACAGATGTAGTCATTCGTGGATGTATAGAAGTTGGCCCCAGCAAACTTGCTCAGGCAAGAGAAAGAGGTTTACTAATTATTGATGAAGAAAGTTTATTCCAATATCTTCAAAGCACAAATCCAAATTATGTACCACCTCCACCACCAAAAATTAGTGGCGGACCAGCACTTCCAGAATCAATGTTCCCAATATCATCAATCTTAACAGAAAAATATCGTCCAAGACAACTTTCTGATATTGTTAGCAATTACGGCGCTCTCAAGCATCTTGTTGATTTCTTCGAAGCATACGATCCATATGAAAAACCAAAATGTGCTATTCTATGTGGTCCTCCAGGCATCGGCAAATCCACGGCTGCAACATTAGTAGCATTATACTGCGATTACCATCCAATTGAACTCAATGCATCAGATACTCGCTCTAAAAAATCTCTAAATGAAACATTTCCAGACATTTTTGACAACAAAGCAATTGATGCAAAGAGCGGCCAAGATCAAATATGTCTTATCTTCGATGAAGTTGATGGAATGTCAGCTGGAGATCGAGGAGGTCTCCAAGAATTAACAAAATTCGTTGATAGAGCGATTAATCCAGTGATTTGCATATGCAATGACAGAGAAAATAGGAAATTAGAAACACTTGCAAAGAGATCTGTTGATATTAAGTTTGCTACTCCTACAGAACAAGAAGTTGCCTCAAGATTAAGATTCATTTGCGAGCAAGAGGGCATGAAAGTCAGCGATGAGTCATTATTAAGGATTGCTCAAAGCTCAAATGGTGATTTCAGACACGCAATTAATACACTTCAGTTCTGGGTTCCAACAGAATCAGATTTAGAAACGGATAACGTAAATAGGAGTGCCAAAGTTATTCCAATCGTTGATGTTGTTGAAGCAACAACAAAATTATTCCGTCCAAAGACGGATTTCGAAATAAGATTCGATTGTTATTTCGTAGATTACGGAATGGTTCCACTTTACATGCACGAAAACTTGCCTATAAATGACAATGCAGGATATGCAGATGCTTTAGAGTCAATGGCTATTGGTGACGTATTAAATAATGATATCTACCAAAACATGGAATTCCAGACTTTACCAGCTCATGGATTCTTCTCTGCTGTTGCTCCATCAATTCTTTCACCAGGAAAAGATTGGGGAGGCATGGCAAAATTCCCGATGTATTTCGGAAAGAATTCAAGGCATAAGAAATTAGAAAGATACATCAATGAGATGGGAAGAAGAATTTCTCGCACAACCAATCTACCAACTAGTGAAATCAACGATACAACAGTTCCATTACTTTTAATGCGAGCTAAAAACTATCTTTCAGGCAGAAAACCAAATATTGATGGTTTCCTCGATATGCTTGATAGCTTTGAAATGACTCTTGATGACTACGAGCATCTTGGAGAGCTTTATACATACGGACCACCAGCCATGGCCGCAAAATCTCTTCCAGGAACACCAGCTGTTAAAGGTGCCGTAACAAGAGGCTACAGGCAGAGACATACGAACGCTTCCGATGTAGTAGGAAAGGTTAGAGAAGTCAGAGAAGACTACATGATCAGCGAACGTCCGAAACCAAGCGAACTCAGAGCAGCAGCTCCAACAAAGTCAAAGAAACAGAAGCGTAAGTCGAGCACAATCAAAACTAAACGCGTCAACAAAGATGGCGAAGAACTCATCGATGATGATGAAGGAATTCTCGATGAGTCAGAGAATGATGAAGAGGAAGATGAAGATATCTGGGCAGCAGCAAAGAATAAGTCGAATGCAAAGTCCACGAGAAGATACAATTCGAAGTCAACAGGAAAAGATGATGAAGGACTTGAATTCAATTCTGCAAGTGATGATGCAGAAGAAGATGGAGATTGGAAAGAAAATAAGAAATCAAAGAAGGATGACGATGATGATGAAGAAAAGCCTAAAGCAAAGAGATCAAGAAAGACGAAAACAAAGAATAATGAAGAAAAACCAAAATCAAAACGTGGAAGAAAACCAAAGAAAGATGATGATGAAAAGCCTAAAACAAAGAAGACAAAAAGCACTAAACCAAAGAGAGGAAGAAAATCTAAAGAAGACGAAGATGATGAACCAAATAGCGAAGATGAAGCTTTTGTTGCAAGTGATAGTAGCGAAAGTGAAGCTGAAGCGCAAATGACAAGTGAAAGTGATGAAGAAATGGAATTTGACGATGATGATGAATCAAGTGATTCTCCTGACGAAGAACTAAATTTGAGCGATGATGACGATGAGAAGGAAAAGAAAGCAAAGAGAGAAGCTAAAAAGAATGCACCACCAAAGTTCAAATCCAAATTACTCAAGAAAGTTAAAGGAAGGAAGACTGGCCGTAAAGTTTGAATATTAAACTCTTGTAATAGCATTTGAAAACTATAAAATAAATATAAGTTTTTGCTCGAAAGTGGATGCTATTTTTATATTTAGGGTGCGCTTACCACTTTCAGACGCACTCTCAGTTCTTTGATAAAAGAGGTTCAAATAATAGATTTCTTAAAGCTTTGATACAATATTAAGAAATATCAGATATCATAACTCTGAGATGCTGTGCCTTATTTGGTTCGCTATCAAACTTAAGTTAAGCTTAGATACGAGTGAGAAATCTGAAATAACTGGAGAAAAATATAAAAAATCTTGTTTAGGAGAAAAGACATGCACATCCCAATTTGAATTGTAATAAACAGAAATTCATCAAAAGTGACAGCTCTCAATTTTTTGACATTTGTAAATTCTAAATTGAATGAGAAAAATGAAATAATACTAAGCATAATACAATATTCTAGATTTAATTATAATTAGGGAAAAGTTAGTTTTGAGAGTACTTTTCATAGGCAGATAGAATGAAATCTTCTGAAAAATAATATCACATAAACTCATATTATTTTCTAATATATAACTATTTTATATAAAAATCAAATTCAATGATCTTAAAAGCGAAGGATAAACCTCAAAATTTACGAATATAATGAGTGGGAATATAATGCTTATCTATCATAAAACCATATGAAATATCAATTTTTGCTTTACGCCTAATTTTTGACGACAATTAGCAAAAAATGTTAAATGTTAACACTCAGTCCATTTGAATATGAAAAATAAAATTGACTTTGATTAAATGTTTTTATTTATCATGCAATTCTTCTTGCGACCAAAGATTTGAATAAAACTTCAAAAAATAAGATAGCTTAAAAAATAATATACGGTAGTGTTTACTAATAGATGGATAGTATATAAATTCTATTAAAATGGATTTGATCCAAAAAAATATATAAAATTTGATCATAAATAAAATTGTTTAGTAGTCATTTAAAATGATGTAATTATTCAAATTTTGCTAAGACCCATTCGTCTTTGATATATAACTCCCATTTTTGCATTTCTGGCTCGTACCAAAATTTTGAAACTTCGAATAATTCGTTAGGAGTGTAATTACTATTTGTTTTTGGATTAATATAGTTTTGGGATGGGTAGCCCATCCCATATATTCAAATTTTCAATGATTTTGGGTTGGGATTCCCAGACCAGAATAATTTCTAATTATAATTCGTAAAAATATATGTATATCTCATTATTACATCATTTAATATATTTTTAGTTAAATAGTCACTATTTTCACAATTTTTATTATTAATTACTGAACTAAACAGGTTTCAAATAGAAAGAGTATAAAAGATAAGTGTTTTTCTACATGTGTTTCGATAAGAATTATAATAATTGATGGTTTTTACAGCCAAATTTATTTTATTATTTAAATTTCAATGAAAAAAGATAAGAATTTTTTAATAAAAATTTTTTATTAAGAATTTTTTTTGTAAAATTGACACTGGGATGACGATAGGGCTGGGATCTTATCCACCCCGTTCATTTGGGAAAATTGCAGATTTATACCAAGACAGAACGGCAAGGTGGAGCGCCTGTGGCCAAGCTTAGAAAAGTTTTTGCCAGACGAGTTGGATGATATTCAACAAATCAAGGACTCAGTTCAGCAGTTCATTGAAAAATACAACAATACACCACATTTATCTCTCAATATTAATCCAAAAACAAATAGTAATTACACTCCTAACGAATTATTCGAAGTTTCAAAATTTTGGTACGAGCCAGAAATGCAAAAATGGGAGTTATATATCAAAGACGAATGGGTCTTAGCAAAATTTGAATAATTACATCATTTTAAATGACTACTAAACAATTTTATTTATGATCAAATTTTATATATTTTTTTGGATCAAATCCATTTTAATAGAATTTATATACTATCCATCTATTAGTAAACACTACCGTATATTATTTTTTAAGCTATCTTATTTTTTGAAGTTTTATTCAAATCTTTGGTCGCAAGAAGAATTGCATGATAAATAAAAACATTTAATCAAAGTCAATTTTATTTTTCATATTCAAATGGACTGAGTGTTAACATTTAACATTTTTTGCTAATTGTCGTCAAAAATTAGGCGTAAAGCAAAAATTGATATTTCATATGGTTTTATGATAGATAAGCATTATATTCCCACTCATTATATTCGTAAATTTTGAGGTTTATCCTTCGCTTTTAAGATCATTGAATTTGATTTTTATATAAAATAGTTATATATTAGAAAATAATATGAGTTTATGTGATATTATTTTTCAGAAGATTTTGTGTTCTTCTTCAAAATTTTATTTTTTTATTAAAAAGAATCTTTACAAAATATACATTTACTTTAATTAATATTTAAAAACGTGCTCTATCAAAAGTTCCAAAAATTTAATATTTTAGCTTTTCTGAGGTGTCACTTTTGATGAATTTCTGTTTACAACAGAATCTCTAATAGTAAGGGTTTCGTTTTGCGAAAAAAAACGTACAATACGCAATTTCGCTAAAAAACATTTAGCTAGCAATTTCGACATTTGACTCCACTCAAGACGTCACTTTTTAATTTTGCTGTATCATATTTTTGGAAAATCTTTATGAATATTATATAAAAAGTCTCTTTAATATCTATATTTCATATTTTTATCGATTTTTAAAGTTTTTGCGAAAAGTATTCAATTATTTTTGCTATTTGGTCGGGTAAATGTCAGATTTGCGACATTTTCTGATATGATATTCAGATTCTACGTTGATAATAATGCTTATAGAACCCTCTTGCTATTGTGTCAAAATTGCGAAACCGATAGCAAAAATATCTCGCAATATCAAAATTGAGATATTGAGTGAATTATGCATTATAGAGATTAAAAATCTGATTTGTGAAAACATCTCATCAGTTTCTAGCTAATTCAAAAATCGGCGTGTGGGCAATTTTAACGACATTTTTTAACGCGATACGAGCGTAAGTCCATAGAATGTGTTTTGAGGGAAACTATAAAAATCCAAAATAGAGGTAAGTGCGCCATTATTACCTGCGAAGTTACATGGAATAAATCGAAGAGTAAGTACAAGATGATCTTGCATCTTTCCAAGTAAATGAAATTTATTAAAATTAAGATGATAATATTCATTTATAGTATGTGTATGATGTTTTTTCAAAATTTCTTCAAATAAAATGCAGAGAGAGGGTCAAAGTTGCTATTTGTCACTTTTCCACAAGAATATAATGGGGAAAAAGTTATCATATAGTTGATCTCATTCACTGAGGTGAGAGATGCGTGTAGTGTAATGGGATAAACAATGGGATTGCTGCTCTAAGTCCTAGGTTCGAGACACATTGGCTTCATTTTTCTCTTTTTTATTGACGTAAACTATTCAATTTTTGTGTTCTCCATTCAAATTTCAGAATTTTTTTTGCAGATTTCACGCTACATTCGAAGTTACCTTTTGTAACAACCACCACTGCCTACGAAAGACGAAAGTGTGTCACGATTTCACCCGGAAATCCGATGGTTGTTTAAGAGTAAGCACTTTTGGTCGTATATTAATTTAACTAATATGAATTTGGATTGTGCTTTCCTTATTGATGTAATGTATGGCAGTCCCAACGGGAACCGCGGTAATTTACCGAGGTTTCCGCACACCGGTTCCTTTTTTTAGGAATTTTTTAGATTAAAAAATATGCTTTGTAAATCATTTTTTGTAAATCGGCAAAAATTTGGAAATATTCTGACGACAATAAATCTGGGAATAGTATTTTAAATACGAGAACAACCTATTTAAAAGTGTTTCGCTCGATTTTGTATAATTTCAAATTTTTGCATATAGCTTTCCGTGAATTACCGTGATTTTACCGCCACATCAATAGTTTACGACACTTTTTCCGTAAATTGAGTAGTTTACTGCACTTTTTCCGTAAAATTGAGTTACGGGAATCCGTAAGATTACCGTACCTCACTTCTAGTTGAAAATAGCATTAGTATATAATAAATAGATATATTATTCATATTTTTGATTTTGAATTACGGAAAAAGTGAGTTCAGAACTTCCAATTATTATTTGATTAATTATGTTAAAAATACTATAAGGAATTAAAATACATAATGTTGAAATTTGAATTACGGAAAAAGTGAGGGTGAAAGTGAAGTGAAAAAGTAAGATATTTTTGTTGAAATAATCATAGTTGTACAATTTTGAAACTATATGTAAAGTTATAAATTGAATAAATTCAAAAACAAAAATTGTTTATTCTTATTAATAAATTTATATTAATCAATATTTGAACAACCCGTAATTAAAATTGAATTCCTCTTAAAATTTAATCCATACGTTGATTTTTAATTTGCTCGGCGAATGCCGAGCTTCCCTACTTCTCTTGTCATTCCTTCAAAAACTCTAATCTCATCGCACTTACAAACATCATGATTTGATGTATTGTCGAGAAATCTTAGACTTGTTTGTCATTTGATTATCGCATTTGAAAGTCATCTCGAAAATCGATTAACAAGACAATTTCCCAAACATCTACATACAAGTAGATGATGGTAAACCAATTAGAGTTGTTTTGCTATGATTCCTCCAATCTTATGATGAGAAAAATCATATCAAAACAGCTCTAATCGAACATTCTACACAGCTTAGCATCCAGCTAGTTCCAAGTAATGCGATTACAACATCAACGGCCAAAGCCTTTCAGAGTCCTTTAATCATTTCTTCTCATCTCAATGTGAAGTGGCCCCAAACGAACTACAAGCTGACGTTACAACGCATTACAACCCGGTTAATACGAGCATATACATTAGAGCTGCTTTGTTATGATCTCCCTCATCAATTGATGAGAGATCTCATTATGAAGCAGCTCCAATCGAACTAAAAACCTACATACAAATGAGAGAAAACAAACTCATTAGAGTTGTGTTGCTTTGATTTCTCTCATCAGAAGATGAGAGATACCAGAACAAAACAACTCTAATCAAACTTTCTACACAACTCAGCACAGTATCAATGCAAAGTAATGCGTCTGTATCGTTAACAAGCAAAGTTGTTTCGGGTCCTTCCATTTTGGAAGAATTCGGAACAACTTTGCGAATTGATAGTGTAAACCCATATACATGAAAGCGTGCATGCATAAAGACAGGTATTGTCAGCAATGACTACCTGCCCAGCTATGAGTGATCAGAGAATTACCATCTCAGGCTTTTTGAGAACGTTTCAGCCAGGACCCTCGTATGTTGACTGTGAGAAAGGCATCCTTTATCTGAAATAGATGCTTTTCCAACAATCAAATTCGAAGATCTTCGACGTTGTTGTAAAAAGAGAAGGAGAAGGAAAGAAGAGGAAGGAGAGGAAGAAGGAAAGGAAAAGAAGAAGAAGAAAAAAGAAAAAAAAAGAAGGACATATTAAATATAATGCGCACTTAATAGTGCCGAGGCGGCGGAGCCGCCGAGGCGCGATTTTTTTGACCCTATATTACAGCACGGCAATGTTTTTCTCGATTTTGTACAGCCCTAATGTAATGATATTTTCACTAATAAAAAATGAAATATACACAAGAAAAAATTATTCAAAAATTATCATTGCATTTTATTTGAAGAAATTTTGAAAACACATCATACACATACTATAAATGAATATTATCATCTTAATTTTAATAAATTTCATTTACTTGGAAAGATGCAAGATCATCTTGTACTTACTCTTCGATTTATTCCATGTAACTTCGCAGGTAATAATGGCGCACTTACCTCTATTTTGGATTTTTATAGTTTCCCTCAAAACACATTCTATGGACTTACGCTCGTATCGCGTTAAAAAATGTCGTTAAAATTGAACCGCGCCTTCAAAAATCTTTACTATCTTATTTGATTAAAATGAAAAGGGAATAGTTTCATTCTGCTTTAAATGACAGCCTTATAATATAATCATAGTTTTCGCTCAATATGCAGCATTTTTTTTTTCGAAATCTATGGTCAATGTCCTAAATACTGATTGCTTTGCATTCATATCTCTTACATTTTCTATACCCACATCACTATTCATTGCTATTCCTATCTTTTTCATTTTTGTTTGTTTCTCATAATTTCTCAAAAAACATGATAACTTGATATTTGTAAATATCATACTTTATAACGTAAATAAGAACTTGACCTATTAAGAAAAGCAGTAATGAAAAGAAAATCTGAAATTCATAAAAATTACAAGTTTCTGATGACAATTAGCTTAATTAAACCAGGTACAAGATTATATAATTGTATTTTCTATCCAATTATCCATATAATATCTTATCCAGAAAAAAAACTTGATCAATACCAAATGATTTTTTAACTAGTAAATAAAGTATTTTCTTTACACACACATTGTATATCATAGTTTTTTTTTTTTTTTTTGGTTTCGCAAAACATCCAAAAACAAATATGCTATAAAAGTAACAATTTTAGCAAAACGAAACCCTTACTAATAGATTCTCGATTTTTGCGAAGAACAAAACCAATAACGATAAAAATTTTACAATATTTCATTCAATTTTAAAATTTTGAATAAAAAATTATCGTTATTAAAATCATGGATGACAATATTAGAGCTCTCATAGCATATAACTTCGATTCAATGATAATGGATCAGTCCAACAAATGCAAACAAGCAAAGAAGTCAAAATTGCCAGAGATCTTTGATTTCGTTCTTTTTTGCATAAAAACTTATTCGAATCAAACAATTTATCTATTCCTGAAAGCATTCATTGATTCCAAATCCACCTTCAGCAGTGAAGATGCCCAGAGATTTTCCAAATCTTGCAATGATCACTATCGTATCACAAATAATAACTTCCATACTGATGAATTCTTTGAAAAATTATATTTTCAAAGGTTGAGCTATCAAGGTAATAACGTTTCTGATTTCAAAAAGCAATTCTTTAACAGCACAAATGACCATTTCCAAAGATACAAAAAACTTCAACCAAATATGCTTGAATACTGCTGCAACATGATATTTCACTTTGAAAGCAATAAGCCGGTTCTTCAAAAACAATCAACAGCTGATCAAAAAGCAAATATTGAACAAAATGCTCCTGTTACCACTAATTATCCAAATGATGGAGCAATTTATGATTTACCTCCACAGCCAGCAGATGAACAAGTACAAATCACTGATGGAAATGAAGTGTATCCTTTTGATTCTTATGAACCAACTTTTGAAGATGACCATTTTTACTTAGAATTTGATGGTTTCTAGTTTATAAACTAGAGACAAGCACTTTTTTTGATTGATTGGGGAGAAGCTTCCTAAACTTTTTAATCCCATAAATATGGTCATTATCTGGAATAAAGAGTTAAGCGTCATATGTCACTTTTTGTACTAAGGAAACATCGACTTTATGCGTTATGACTTTTCGATGAGGAAACAAGTGTTCACGTATTATAAACTTCCTTATCCCAATAAACCGGCCCTAAACATAATTAATTTTAAGCATTATAATGGTCTCTTTTCTATGATAACCAAATCAATTTGGTTATCATAGAAAAGCACCAAAAACTAGAATAGGAATCGGCAATATGGAATTATGAAACAACTAGGATAAAATGGATATGGGACATTCATGAATGCATTCACTTTTTTCAAGACTTTTTAATGAATTTCAAATTCCTCAGATTATTTTCAATAGATTTTCCGTACCATATCATTTTTATTAGACAAAGCTATCTTTTCGATGAAATTTTTGCAAAAATACTCTGTTTTGAAAAAGATTTATGTAAATTTTTTGATAAAAGTGTCTTGAATGATTATCATTGATAATACCATTCCAATTGAATGCTGTTTTCGGCTGCTTTTATAAAAATTTGATCATATTGTACTCACAGTATACGGAAAATTTGAGTCTTAAGTTCACTTTTGGTCTTATTTTTTTGACAGGGTGGGCCGCATAAATATCTGTGAAATTTACTTTGTATGAAATTGAGGTGTAGTCTAACGGTTAAAACTGCCGGATTGGCTTTATTTTTGGGGTTCCGAGTTCGAATTAAGTGCCACGCGTTTCTTTTTTCTTTTTTTTTATACTTGAAAAATAAATAGAAGATTTCTATTAGTAAGAAACAAGTAAACTGTTTTTAGTCATATATATTGAATAAATTAAGATTACTAATAACAATTATTTGAATTTGACACAAATTTATTAATATAAATCAAGTGAATGTTCTCAAGTTCACTATTCATACCAAGAGACTTAGTCAATCTTGGTATAACTGAATTATCCATATCAAAACATTTAAATATTCAGAATTGTTCTAAATTGTTATAGGTGGAAGAGCGATTACAAACATAAAATGTATTTTAAGATAGGTAGATACAAATAGACTGTCAATTATAAAAAACATAAAACAATATTCTAAAAAATTTTTATTCCTATGAAAATATTGATTGGCTATAACATGTATCTAATGGTCTGTTTGAATCTCATATAAAGCAAAATTGAAAATTATTGAGAATAATATCCAAGTATAATAATATTTTTAATTTGAGATCCAACTATGGTAATTATGTATTATAATGATATTTGTTGTAAGTCATTATGTTTGTATGATCATAAATCAAAAATATAAGAATTTTTTGTTAATTTCTTCGGCAATCCATCATTTAAGCTTCAAATATCTATTGTCACATGCTAACATACATGAAACTAATTAAATGGGTATATCGAAAATAAGTTAATATGAATAAATAGAGAAATTGAGGTGATTGTTTTGCAATTTTGAAATTTATTCACGTTTATGTTGAAATGTGATGTTATTCATATAATACCAGATCTCATGATTATAATAATAAAAATAATTTGAAGAATAAATGAGATTGGTATTAAAAATTGGATTTTGACACACAGCTGCATAATCAACTTATATACATAAGAATATTAAGCGATTAACAATATTTCTTTCTCAAAATTGTTTAAAATTTAAAGATCAAAGTTCATATATTTTGAATTTAGGATTAAAAAATCTTATAACTGTTTTGTAATTTGATTGTAATATAACCGAAAAGATTATTTTACAAAAATATGAGTATTTAAATACGAAATATATTATTCATGGTTCAAATTCCAAATTGATTCTTATTAAAATAATTCTTGGGTATAATACAATTTATTGATATAATGAAAAAAGAAAAAATAAGATGTATTCGGATTCGAACCTGGGTTTTCCGACCCCAAAAACATAGCACGTTAGCAAATGAACCAAATAATTATTTCATACATTTTTTATTTTTAGCTATAAGATTTTTCCCCAAACTTGCTTACCTGCAAATATACCTTCAGCTACATAATTGATCAAAACTTACAAGGTCAAAGAGTAGCTTAATACTGCACATTTCAATATACTGTTGACTTCATTTTCAAAAATTATTACATATTGTTCAATTAACGATTTTTTCTTAGATGACTTTACTAACCAAACTGACCCATTCGCATCGCTCATTACCAACTTACAAAGTCGAAAACACAAGTTTCTGCGTCCACAGAGCATATGATTTAATAACGGATATCATTTTTAAATAGATGTGTATCTATTAACGAGCATTTTCATTAAACCTCATACAACAGAGAAAGAATACGAGTCTAATATGGTCAGAGAGACTTCTGTCAGATTTTGAATTTTGTACATTTCAACACAGTATCTCAATTTTGCATACCAAGATATGCGCCTCTACAAATTCTTTTCATATCCGCTCCGACTTCAAGCGTAAATACTTCTCATATCTTACAATCATTACTTTTTTCGAACTCCCTAAAATTTTTTCAAAAAAATTTTTATTTTTTGACACTTTGCAAAATCTTAATATACATAGTATATAGACGCTATGTTTTTGCAAGTTTTTTTGCCAAAGTGTTCAAAATTGTGGGAATTTTGCGGTTAAAAATAAGACCCAAAATGATTTTAAGACCCACTTTTTCCGTATACTGTCATAATTTTTTTTTGTATTTTGGTCAAAAACTAAGCTAACATCAGCTGTATATTTGCATAAGCCATTAATAAGCTTTGGTATAGGTTATACTGAGTTTAGACGATCATACAATTTAGACTTTTTTCATTTAATTTAGTCTAACAAAGAGTGATTATCTTACTATTTGATTCATAAATATATAGGAAATAATAGTTTTATACCTTAATATGATAAAATTTTATAAAATTTTCCCTTCTCCTTTGGCAATATTAGTCATTAATAGATATATTTAACATGATGGTTCTAAATATATAAGGATGTCAATTCGGAAAATTGTTTTCGTTTTAGGAGAATATAATTTTCCATTTGGAAAATTTAAAAAGTGAGACGCGCAGGATTCGAACTTTTTTAAAAGTTGATTTAAATATATTCTAGTGTGGAATCTAAGGATAATATCATATTTAAAATAAGAATATACGAGTTTAGGTAGTATTATTTTTTTCGATAAATTTGAGAGTATGTACGTTTAGGGCATCAAAAGTGTCAATTCGCTCAGCGAAAGCTGAGCTAGCTTCGTTCTCGAAAAAATAGGGAAGAAGTGAAGGAGAGTGATACAGATGTTGACACATTCATATAATTTCAACAAATTTGATCAAATTGAAATTCAATGAAATTCAATTCACTTCATATCCTTCAGTCAGTACATTGACATCCTTCTACATCACAATGATAACTCGGGAATCAATAGTTCTACAACTAACTCAGAAAAAAAAAAAAGATTTTTACTTCCAGCTTGCAGCTTTTAAAAAGTTTCGATGATAAAAATCACTCTACTCTTGTTTATAGATATGTGATGATAGTAGGTAAACATATTCTTATCGATTTTAATAAAAATATTTTTACGAAAATCTGAACCAATTACAGAGTTATTCATAAAGTTTATGATAACTGTAATTATTTCATCTTTGTTTTATATTTGAATAAACAATTTAATTTAAATTGCATAATATTTTTTGGTTGAAAGACAGGAAACTTAGTTGAGTTTGTATTATTTTTATCGTTTAATTCATCGTATCAGTGAGTGATCCAGATATTTAAGATATTTAAAAAAAAATTATTAATTTGATTAACAAATTTTAATCAAAATAGCAAAAATCTATTTGATAGCTGTAAACAAACAATATTTTTTATTTCAAGCAAAATCACTTATTTTCATCTAAACGTATAAAATTGTCAATTTTATAAAAATAAATTGAAAATCTCAAGAAATGTAAAGGAGAGTAATATTTTTCGATTTTCTTTTTTTCTTTGTCTCAAATATTTTCTGTTGGGAATTTTCTTGTTATCAAAAAATAATTTTAATATTTGTTTATTTTATTACATACAATAAAATTTTAAAAACTCTATTTCTTCTCAAGAAAATTTTTTTCCTTCATATGAAGAAACATTTTGTTCTCCATTTGATACTGAGTCTAAATCTCGATTTTTGAATTTTCTTCTTTCCAAATTTCTTTTTTCCAAATTAGAAGTTTAATTCAAATTTTCAATAGTTTATATATTTTCTCAAACCGTCTCAGATTTTCTCACTTTTTAGGGATTTTCTCTCAAAATATACAAAAATAGTAATATCAATACATGTGTCTATGGCATTCCAAACGGGAACCGCGGTTGGTTACCATGGATTTCCGTCACCGGTCACATTTTAAAGATTTTTTAAGCCTTATAAAAATATGCTTTGTAAATCATTTTTTGTAAATCGGCAAAAATTTGGTAATTTTCTTCAACTAATAAATCTGCGAATAGCATTTATAATACAAGAACAATCTTTTAAAATGCGTTTGATTCATTTTTGTATAATTTCATATAGGCACATATATTCTTCCGGGACTTTCCGTGATTTTACCGTAAAATCATTAGTTTACACCAATTTTTCCGTATTTTGAATAGTTTACTGCACTTTTTCCGTAAAATTGAGTTACGGGAATCCGCAAAATTTCCGGACCTCATTTTTCATAGAATATTGTTGTAAACAGAATTTCATCAAAAGTGACAGCTCTCAATTTTTTGACATTTGTAAATTCTAAATTGAATGAGAAAAATGAAATAATACTAAGCATAATACAATATTCTAGATTTAATTATAATTAGGAAAAAGTTAGTTTTGAGAGTACTTTTCATAGGCATATAGAATGAAATCTTCTGAAAAATAATATCACATAAACTCATATTATTTTCTAATATATAACTATTTTATATAAAAATCAAATTCAATGATCTTAAAAGCGAAGGATAAACCTCAA